CACCTTGGATAATCTCCAGAAATCAATTTAAAGGGTAATAAAATAATTGCTGATGTAATATTTTCCCTATAATTATTACAAAAACACAAAATAAGCATAAATAAGCATTTATATTTGTGTACAAGCTGTTTAGATTGTCAAATATCCTGTGTTTTTAGGGTTTTTTAACAAAGTTCGTGTACTCAGACCAGTAATATTTGGGGTCACAAATTTTTGCCATGGATATTTTGTGGGTCAGAAGACAAAAAGTTTGGGAACCACTGATTTAAAGAGTTTCTTTAAGCAGGAGAACCCTTTAAACTTCACAAAATCTTTCATTTGAAACTGCTTTATTGGTCATTTGTTGACCTATTAGACTTCGAGTGATCTTTTCCAGACCCCTGGCAGTGTGTGCATGACATTTGTGTATGTAAAACTGTGACTACTGTATGTAAAAAAAGCGTCAACTGTTGGTGGGTGGAAAGGAGTGTGTGATGTAGGTGGGTGGGTAGGGTGGACGCGTTCCTCCTCCTTCACACGCATGGCTGAGGTCGTTTATGTAAATGCTTTGAATTTAATTTTCAAAAGGACGGCCCTTTCTCCCCTTTCTGCCCAATGAAAATGAGCTGCAGCCGACACCTGGCTATAAACCCAGGAAGGAGCCCCCAAAGCCTTTAATCAGAAGGAACCTGCTGGAGCACAAAAAAAGAAAAAAGAAAAGAAAGAAAAGAAACAGGGTCAGAGAGGCTGCAGAGCTGAAGAGGCGAAGACTTTCCACCGAGTCATGACTTCCAGTAAGATCGAGCTCCCCGGAGAGGTGAAGAACGACCCGGCTGCTCTCATGGCATCCCTCCAGCTGATGCCTTCACCGGTGCCCAACCCGGAGATCAAGCACACAAAGGTCTGTTTCTCCGCACACTCTCACCGGACTTCACTGCGCGCCGCTCCGCCGCACCGCAGCTCTGCAGCTCCGGACCCAGAACCGGGCTGAACTTTATTCACTTTACCTATGAGATTTCAGCAACCAGCAGAACTTTATAGGTTTATAAAACTTTTAAAGTTATAAAACTCTGCTGAGCCGGTCCAGACCTGCAACGCGGGCTGCTCTTTATGATCTTTTTTTTTCTTCTCTCTTTGCGTTCGCACGTGCTCACTTTAAATCATTAATCAATAATTCCTGCAAAGTAGAATAAAATAAATGACTAAAACAAACACGTCAAACCTTTTAATTTCGTAACTTAAAACACTTTTAAGAACATATATGTGCCAATAATGAATAATTAAATGATGAAGTCTAATAAAAATGTTTATAATTAAAATCAGCTGTTGAAGTTTATGACTAAAGTGCTCCTATTTACAAGAATGAGTCACATTTTTTTGTATTTGTTGTGTTATTTGACATTTATTCCACAGTGAAGTCACAGGTCAGCAGGAAACCAATTTATAAACTGCATTTTTATAGGAATATAAAAAATAGTAATTCAGTGGACACTTATAAAAGTGAAGAAAAAAAGTTAAACTGGAACCAAAACTTTTGTCTGTCTTTAATTTTATTCTCATTATTATAATAAGTGCTTTTTTATGATTTTCAGTCACTTCATTAATAGCTTGCAGTATTATTAGGCCTCAGTGGAAAAAACAAAACCTATAAGCAAATGTAGCCAAAACCCTCCCCTGCCTGCATGCGCTCACTTTTTATTTGTGATGGCAACATGCTGAACTCTTGTCAAGTAATAGCCGAGTATTATGATCTGAATGAGATGAGATTGTTATTTTAAAAAAAGGCAGCTGGTTTAAGTGTTCTGGATTAAAATGTGTGTTTGGATTCTGCTCTGCGGGCAGAACTCAGAGGAGACTCAGAAAGAAAACGAATTATTTTATTTAGAAAACAAGTCATGTTAGAATAAAAAACCCATAAATTTTCATATATTGTTGAAGGATTTAACACAAATATTGACTCATGCATATAAAAATCAACTGTAATGAGGAAATTGTAGCATTAAGGTAAATAAATATGAGCTCTTTCGGATCAAATCCTTTTGGTTGGATTCATGTAACAAGTTTTTTTTATAAATTAGTTTTGGAGGTCTCATCATTGCCTTCAGGGGTTTGTTGCCACCGCCGAGCTCCTCCAGCAGAACAAGTGTTTTTATGATTGTGAGACAAAAGGGCACATCTCGTAGAGGACAGATTAATGATAGTGTGGTGGAAGTTCATTCACTGCTGTAATTGCTCCGTGTTAACACATACCTCAGTGTTTTGAGAGCAAAGGCCACTCTGCAGCGCTGCATTGCACACAGAGTGTGTGGCACATGTTGGAGAGGCGTGCTGGGAGCTTTCCGTGTCAGTCGAAGGGCTGGGAGCGTCGCTGTACAGGAGGAAATTTAAGGAAGCGACTTGGTGAATTAACCTCCAGGAATTTGGATCATCCAGTCCCTGTTGGCTCGGTGGACATGGGGGGCAGAAGGGCCCTGATTTATGGGCACCCCTAGCGTGGGCTCTCCTCACACCCCGTTCCTGAACTCCACCCTGCAGGCTGCACGGGAAAGCCTGCAACTGCTCACTGAAATCAGCCTTTTGCTGAGATTTCATCTTTTTTTACATACAACTTGTCTGCAACACGAAGCTTTTTATGAGAATTTGAAGATCTCAACGGTTRTTCTCTGTTTAACAATGCAAAGATTATGTCAGAAACACAGATATGGCTGATACTTTATCATGACTTGACACTTGCCCTAGTATAACAGAAAGAGGTGATAAAAAGTGCAACTGTGATTGAGTTTTGCCCCTTGTCCCTTCACCGAGTCGTGAACTGCTCATTTTTCAAATATCGACTGTATCAGATAWTTTAATCTTTAAAAAAATGTTTTTCTTTGATGCATTTTTTTGCCACCCTTCACATTTTAATTGCTAAATTTCCATCAGCAGGATTACTTGCCAGAACCACACAAGAAGCGATAAACAATAAAAATAATAATAGCAATTCATTGATGTTACCTTTTTTCACTTGTGACATAAGCGAAGAAGAAAAGAGTTTGTTCTCCTACTCTTTTCCAGCAGGTGATACTTCTGGTCTTTGTGGTTTTTCACACAGTTCAGTGATAATGAGTTGTTAAATCAGACACTCTCTGGGACGAATTTAACAAGAGAGGAAATAAAAGCCAGGCGTTGCAGCTTTTTTGCTGTGAAAGAACACTATAAAATGCTTATTTCCCCCACATGTGATTTAAAAAAAAAAGTCAACACAAACTTTTTTATCCTAATATAAAAGTGCCTTTTGTAAACCTTTTACAACTTTTAAAGCTATTGATTAAGTTGCYTATTTCCTAACCTTTAACAGTTGAGCTGTATAATCAGATATTAACCAGAATTCTCCAACACTGGAGCTCAATGGCCTTGTTCACTGTGTGAGTTATAGAGCTTTTAATCTAATCAAAAGTTATAAATTTTCTTTGTTGCTTTGCTCATGGTGTTATAAGTGTATTCTCACCGTAGGAACCTGCAGAGAATCTGTCTGCTGAGAACTTGTGTATTTATAAAGCGCAGCCTATGCAGAGACATCCTCTTAGTTTGTATGAAGAAGAGGCTCCATCAATCTGTCAATGATTGAGATAGTACAGATGGAGGCTTTGGGGCTCCCCGATGCTCTGGTGCTGTCCACTGGGGTGTAAATTATGACCCTGTCTCACTGTGTGGGTTAGTGGCCCTGCCTCGCCAGAGCCTGACCTGTAGTCCTGGAGTTTTTCACTTCAAAACCTCCATCTTACTGCGATTGAGATCAAACAGAGCCTAAGTTAGAGGATACTGTGCAGCTCGATGATTTATCGGGGCGAGCACAGCCACAGTCCCCCCCCCCATCTCCTCCCTCTCTTGTTTTGGGTCTTCTTATACAATCTCCTTGCTTCACACACACTCATACCACACATCTCTTTGATAGTGACAGGGCAAGTGTGCGCCGCCATTAATGTGTCCATTGGTGTGAAATGCCTACTTGTGCAGCGAGTGTAAATTACCATCTGAGCAGACGCGTCAGCATCATGTCCCCCGTCTCTTAATCACTGCTTAAGGAAGAGCAGTGACAGCGAGGTTGCCCCGTTAACGTCCTACACCTTCTGTGTGCAACCCCTCTGACAAAGAATGTAAATCCTTCCTGCGTCATTATATGAAGAAAAAAACCTCTCGGCTTCATAAATCTGTTGGAACACAAGAGCTACAACGAGGGACAGAAAGGCTTTTCTCAATGTTTATTTGTCTGTGGAGGAGAAAAAAAAAGGACATTTCTTTATAAATTGCTTCCTCTTTGTCTATACTCCCCTGAGTAAAACAACGTGAAAATGTTCTTTTAACGCTGCTTTGACCTGAGTTTTGAAGCAGTTAAGTACACAGGAAGCTTGTCAAACCATTCAGATGTAAAACAAAAAACAATAATAAGAGAAGAACTCGGTTTTTTTATTTGCTTTGTTTATTTTATTATAATTGTACACTCTAAAGATGAAATGTTGGATTTACTTAACCATGTTATGTGACCTGGTTCCACTTAACTGATGTAAATCCAACATTTCATTTTTTACAGTGTAGTTAACAATTTCWTTATTTTGTTGCCAATACTAAATAATAGAGGTTTAGATTTTGTTTAATTAAAAAGTTGCTCAGAAACTTGATAGTCGGAACAATTGATTAGAAAAAAATAGCTAAATAAGTATTTATTTTATTCAACTGTTTTAGTCCCATAATTTCAGAGTCAGAATGAACAGCTTTAAGCCACCGCTCACACAAAGTGACAAGAAAAAGACGTTTGCCAGTCAGTGACAGAGAGAGGTCGCCCTCTCTGAAATGCAGGAGCGCGGGACGGCATTGTCCACGGGCGTGTGAATGAAAAACATGAAGGCTCCATGGTGTCAGACATGGAAAGAGAAACAGGAGGAAAAAAAAACACCAGCTGGCCTCCACTTTCACATGCTCTCACCACTTGTAACAGTAGTAATTATCAGACTTTTGAAACTAATCCAGAGGCAGAGAGGAAACAGAGTTCCAGCGATAGGGGAGGATATGAAACTTCCTGCGCAGACGAACGCTGAAAAGTAGTCGTAGGATTCGGTTTTTCTGTGGAATCTTGGCATGTTGTGTAGAAACACGTACAAAATCTCCCCCCCCCCACCCACAACACACACACACACACACACACACACACACACACATCCTCACTTCTGCCACCATAACATGAAGGTTTTATATATATTTTTATCTGTTAGCATCTGAGCTAAAAGCCAAACAGATGTTTTATTGCCAGCAAAAAGGGTTTGGGCTTCTCTTACTTCCTGTTGCAGGACAGTGAGAAAAAAGACGTTACATAAACACTTTGCTTAGATTGCAAAATGTTAAACAATTCCACTTTATGCGCACTGCAAATTTAAATTTTTAGATTTATCACATGTACAGAAACAGTTTGTTGATTTGTGCAATGAATAAAAAATGAGACTGACTTTGAAACGGGCGTTTACACCATGTCTCTTTTTTAAAATTATTAAATGAGACTTTGGCAAAGATGATTTCGTTGACATGTTTTACAGAAAGGGATAGGTGCTGCTGAACATTTGCAGCTGCTGTGTGAACCGAGCAAAAACTCTCAATCCAGAACTCCTTATGTATCGAGCATCGTTTAGTTCTAACACACAATTTTTTTTTGTGCCAGAAAAAGAATACTGCAGTTTCAGGATACAAAGTTATTCTAAGTACCAAGAGAACTTTTATAAACATGAAACTATTATGTGGAGCTATAGTGACAAGCCCGCGGGGAAAAGAAAAGAAAACACCATTTGTCATTTGAAAATGTGCACCCTTGCACTCCTGTTTTCATCCTTGCGTTCTTTACCCCTCGCCCCAAATGATCCTAAAAGTAATTTTAAGAAACCTTGAGAGTTGATTTACAGCTCCAGCCTGTCATCTTAATCAAGCCTCTCAATGGAACGAGACAAAAGTCTTAACACCAGCCTGAGCCCAGCGAGAGGGCCGAGCCAAGCGGCGGCTGACAGTTGTCCTTTTCTGGCCGTGATTTAGGTGGGGCCTGCTCCACTGCTTTCACGCTTTATCCCCCTTCTCCTTTAGCAGCATCCAGTGAGAGGGGTTACGCCGTGGATAAAGCTACCCACGGTCTGCATTCTTGGTCGAGCCGTTCAGGCTGTCAGGGGGGCTCCTCTGATTTAGGGCGCCCCACTTCAGTGGCCCCTATAAATTTAAAAACTAATTCAGTGCTCTGCAGGACTTTTTGTTTTTGCAGCGGGCCTTCTTCTCCTTATAGTTACTGACAATTTTATGAAGTGCTCTTAATGAGCACCAGATTAAAGGTGGCCCCTGAAGGAAAGCATGTGAGAATACATGAGCTGGTAATGAAAGAAGTTACCAGGAAGGGTACGGACCGACACCGAACACCTTCAGTTCGCCCGATGCAGAAACTAAAAACCGAACGAGCCACGGTTCCAACTTACCTTTTAGGCATTTTATACCAGCCTGAAAGTAAACGTAGCCTGGAGTTTACAGCCAATTAAATAGTACTTAAAGGCCAGCGTTTATGGAGGTAAACATGTTGGAGAGTTTAGGGAGGCTCAGGCCAGTGGGATACTTGAACCCTGCTCTCAGCTTTGCATCAGAGAAGGATGGTAAGAGCACATGTATACACAGAGGGATTTGTGCCAGCAGATGTTCTCCTCACACTCTATCTATCAGACAGACTGACAACCATTAAAAACAGTGTGTGAGCAGTCATCCTAATGAATCTAAACATGCCAGGGGGTGGGGGGGGGGTATTATTATTTTTTGCTTGCTTGCTTTCTTAACAGAAACACCTCTCATTTTGCTCAGGCTTTCATCACCACCTGAAGCCTTTTTGCTCTTCTTCCAAGTGACATAATTCTCACATTCTGCGATTGTGTAAACATTTATTTTTCTTTGGCTCCTAATAGATGTTAAGTATGTCCTGTTTGAAATCCCAGGCAGTTGTTTAACGGAAGACTTGCTTTAACGCTTCACAGAAACCAAGCGCAGCGCATGTTTTATGATCTCGTAAACGAGCAGCGATGTTGTGAAACGTGTGTCTTTGTGCTTGGGTAGGTGGATGGGTAGGTGGGGGTCTTGTGTCTGATAGGGTTTAATTCCATCCACCACTTCTCTCTCTCTCTCTCTCTCTCACACACACACACACACACACGAATGCACACCTACCCACCCCCCTTTGTCTGCATGGTGGAGCACTCCCCAGAGAGCAATGCTGGACACACAGGAATCTCTGTCCAGATTTCCAGAGATTCTCCCGTATCGTTTACACAAGAGCCTTCACACGATGAGCCTGCTGCCTGAGAGCTGTTAGTCTTTCACAGTCTGAAAGCGCTCCTCTGCAGCCAATATGGTGTAATGATGTGATTACTTAAGATGACATAAATATTCAGCAGTGAGAACAAACTATAGTCATTATCTCCCATTCACTCAGTGTTTGCAGTTTATCAGCTCGTAATGACCTTTGTAAAAAATCTAAAAGAAAAAAAAAACAAGGGTGATTTTTCTTTTCACTTTTGCAGATTTTCATCAACAATGAGTGGCAGAACTCTGTTAGTGGGAAGGTTTTCCCCGTCTACAACCCGGCTACCGGAGAGCAGATCTGTGAGGTCCAGGAAGCGGACAAGGTGAGGGTGAAAACATTTACATCTGTTGAAAAAAAAGAGTTAATGCACCATAAATATTATATCATCTGTTTATAGCAAGATCTGCATGTCAGTTTTTAAGTTCTGTGAGTAAAAACACTTACAGTAATGAATGAATTTGAATGAATTTATTTATTAGGACAGTGTGCAATTAAAACATAAACATAAAATCATTTGATGCATTGCACCAGATTTAGCCTAAGGCTAATTTACAGCCGTAGTCTGTAGATATCTGTAGATAATAAAAACAAAACAACATCCAACAGTAATAAAAATAAGAAAAAAATTACATAAAAATAAAAATAATATAAAATAAAACATTTTGCAATTAATAATAAAAATACATAAACACCAAATTACATAAAAATAAAAATAATATAAAATAAAACATTTTGCAATTAATAATAAAAATACATAAACACCCCACCCCACTCCCCAAACATTATTAAAAAGTTATATCACCGAACATCCAATAAAAAAATTTGTGATTGCAGTATTAGGTAGATTTGAGATATTCCAAGTCTCCACATCCCCACCTGAAAAACATTTGACACACTGCACCCAATCTAGCAATAGGGCAATCCGACATCTGCATTTCCACCAGACAACAAACGTCACCGATAAGCAATGAAAACATCCAAAATAAATAAATACATACATACAATTAACAAATGTAATCATGCCCACCTCCACCCCACCCTCCAACCCACTCAACCAGAAGCACCCTCTACAATCGATGCAATTCAGTGATTGCAACACTGAGTAGATTTGAGATATATTTTTAAGATTATTTTTAAAACTAATAAAAGAACTACAAGTTTTTATGTGATTGGGAGCAGCATTCCACTGAGCGATGGCTTTAACCGAAAAAGCTGCTTGTCCAAAGGCTGAGCGTCAAGCAGGAACTTCACAGTTCTGCCTGGATGTTCTGGTTAAGCGCAAAGAAACAGCTGAACGGTAATAAACAAATTTTGGCAAACAGATTGGCACTAAACCGTTTAAATTTTTTTTATACTGTCTTCATATTTGAAAAAACTCTAAAATTCTCAAAAGTAAACAAGTTATATTTCTGCACAATCTGACTATGACGGTGTCTTAAGGGCTTGTTGTCAAATATTTTGAGGGCTTGTTTGCAACATGTTTTATTACTGACAAATTGGCTTGTCTCTAACATGCAATACAATATGAAATGTGTGAAAAAATGAGTGCTTGCATGAATATCTTGGCCGCTTCCAATGACAAACAAGATCTAACATGTCTAAAATCGACCAAGTTATATCAAACAGTTTGTGTCATTTTTTAATATATTTCTTATAATTGAGGTTCGAATCCAAAAAAAAAAAAAAAAACTCCAAGATACTTAAACTCAGTCACAGTATCAGTTTACCCTTGATGTAAATGTTTAAATTTGAGGTATCCAATTTAGTCTTAGAGAAAAACATACTTTTTGTTTTGTTTACAGTTAAAGTCAGACAGGATTGATTTAACCAGTCAGCCACTCCCTCCAAAGCTTTGGTTACTTTCTCAGCCACAAGTTGAGTCGTTGTAGCATACACGTACAAAACAGTGTCGTCTGCATATAACTGGACTTCTTCATCATGACAAAACTTTGGAAGGTCATTGACGTAAAGACTAAAAAGCAGKGGTCCAAGCACAGATCCTTGTGGTACACCCACTGTGCATTTTAGGAAACTGTAATGTACATCTTTGATTTTAACACATTGCATTCTGTTGCATAAATATGATGCCAACCAAGAAAGGGTTTTAGATGAGAAATTAAAGTTTGATCATTCGGAGAGGAGAACATTGTGATTAACTGTATCAAAAGCTTTATGCAAGTCTAAGAAAACAGTACCAACAACTCCACCTTTATCAAGTTGTAACATTTATGGATTTTTTTAATACATCATTCAAAATTAATCTGGTTAATGTAACTCTACATCATTCAAAATAGTTTAATGTATATAAAATAGAGCAAAAAATTCCATACCCCCCCTCACACTTTTAATCCAGGCTCTATTAATATGATTTAATAAATACTTTTGATACTTTTGTTAAACTTTATTGACATATTCTTTTTAGAGTGAGAATTCATGGATCAATTAGGGATCTTTTATAAATAAAGATGAAAAAAACAAAACAAACAGCAATAATAATCTAGCCACTATTCTACATCCTAATCGACATAACTTCCTTATTTTTGTTTTCCATGATTGGATAGTTGGTTAGTAAAGCTCTTCGGCTCCGCACTTACAAGTTTTTTTTTTTTTGCTGCTGTTTTTTTCTGTACATGCAATTAGTGTAAAAAGAGCAACACAGCTCTGTATATAATGATGTTTGAATGTTTTAGGCGGACGTTGATAAAGCAGTGCAGGCAGCCCGACTTGCCTTTTCTTTGGGCTCCGTGTGGAGAAAAATGGATGCATCTGAAAGGGGCCGACTGCTGTCCAAACTGGCTGACCTGGTGGAGCGGGACAGCATGTATCTAGCAGTAAGTAGATGAATGCATAAAGCATTTTTTTCTAWATTTATTGAAAATGTAGTTTTCACGCATTTGCTCATCTTATTCCAGTTGAGCTTTCCTTTTTATTCCAAATGTATCTACTCTTTATGTCCTCTGTAAAGCTCTCTTGGTCTTGGCCATGTTTGAAAATACAAATATTTGCTTTGCCTTAAAGAGAACTGAGGGGCTGTATTTTTGTAGTTTAATGTTATCCTGGTGTCACATTTCACCCGGTGGTGAGTGTAAAGGATGGAATAGTTTGGAATTATGTGAAGATCACAGGGTTGTATCACATATTTCTCAAAGTTTCCCTGGTCTTTCCTCAGACCATCGAGTCGCTGAACAGTGGGAAGCCTTTCCTGCCCACCCTGTTTGTCGACCTCCAGGCAACTATAAAGACTCTGAGGTACTTCGCTGGATATGCAGACAAAATCCATGGCACCTCCATCCCAATGGGTAAGAGCTTCTCTTCAGTTCTACAGCAGAGTTTCAGTGAAATGGGTTTCAGGCTGGTAATGGAAAAATGTTTATTTTTGAGACAAACATGGAGGGGATGGTGTAAATCAAGCTTGTTATTAGGAATGTGCTTTAAACTGAAGCATAAAATTCTGTCAAAGACCAAAAGTCAACGTAATTTAGCTTAGAAGTCGTATTGCCTTCAGTAATCAAATGCTTCTTTTTTGGCATCTTGTTTGAAAAAAAAATCTGCCAAATGTAAAATTAATGTTAAACAATGTTGCTTTTTGCTTGTTTGGAAATAAGAAAATTGACAAATGTTTTGTTTTTTGTTTTGTTTTTTTTTAATTTTGAAAGTTTTAGACTAGCTTGTTTTAGTTACACAACCTTCTTGTCAGGCCGTACTTAATGAAAATGAAGCTTAAATTAGTTTTAAAGTCAAACATATACATAAAAGACAGAAGCATTTCAAAAAAATCTACGAAGTGTGTTGTTTTTTATTGTTTCTAAACATTTAGCTCTGAAATATGATTATTACATGATTTAAAATTACATTTATCATATGTCACTAGAGATTGTAATTCAAAATATTTCAATCAAGTTATGTATTCTTATATTAAAAATAATAATAGAATAAAATATTAATGAATTTGGTGGTGCATGATCTATAGTGTGACAGCCTGAGGACAGAATCTGCTCCATCATCAGACGCTACAACAGCAGATACTTTTGTTTGGTGGCACAAAGGGGGTCCAGGCTGTGGCTCATGTTGGTTTAATCTTTAGGTTTTTTTATGTTCAGGCTCTTTTCAGACTCCTYCCCTCACTGCTGATACTTTATAACTCAGAAGATGATGCTCAAGGCAGTTTTTTATTAATCAGCTGCTGCAGAGTCATCCTCTCTCCAGCTGTGGACACGGATGCATCAGTCTGTGAAGTCTCTTTATGTGGATTTATAGAAGCTGTAAATGCATCTTTTTGAAGTTTCTAGGGGAAGGAACATTTTAAAAAAGTTATGGAGAAAACAACAAATTCTGCTTTAATATAGTTCAGTTACTGTAAACACTATGTGTATCTTTGTCCTTTTATTTTTGTGATTCTTGTTCATTGGTGTGGTGGTCATGATGATTATGAATGTAGAAATTTTTTTTACATCGTACAGATAAAAGTTTTTATGTCTAAAAGGGCTTTGAGTTGTAAACTTGCCTCTTGGTAAATATTGTAATTATTTAATGGTAACCTGTTAAATAAAAGAAGATGACACAGCGGGTAAAATAAGTATTGAACACGTCAACATTTTTCTCAGTAAATATATTACTAGAGGTGCTAATGACATGAAATTTTCACCAGATGTCGGTAACAACCCAAGTGATCCATACAAAGAAATCAAACCATAACTGTCCAGAAATGAAGTTATTTGTAATAATGTGGAATGGCACAGGGAAAAAGTATTGAACACATGAAGAAAGGGAGGTGTAAAAAGGCCTGGAAAGCCAAGACATCAGCTGAACTCTCTCAGTAATTAGAAAGCAAGCCTGCCCCTTGTCAGTGCAARTTAATATCAGCTGGTTCAGTCCCAAATGATGGCCAGGTATCACACAAGAAACATCTGATGGTGGGTAAAAGTAAAGAGCTCTCTCAAGACCTTCACAACCTTATTGTTGCAAAGCATAATGATGGCATCGGTTACAGAAGAATGTCTAAACTTCTGAAGGTTCCAGTGAGCACTGTTGAGGCCATAATTCAGAAGTGGAAAGAACATTATTTCACCATAAACCAACCACGACCAGGTGCTCCTCACAAGATTTCTGACAGAGGAGTGAAAAGAATTATCAGAAGAGTTGTCCAAGAGCCAAGGACCACTTGTGGAGAGCTTCAGAAACACCTGGAATTAGCAGGTACATTTGTTTCAAAGAAAACAATACGTAATGCACTGAACCTCCATGGCCTGTATGCACGCTCACCACGCAAGACTCTGCTGAAGAAACAGCATGTTGAAGCTCCTTTAACATTTGCTGCACAACATTTAAACAAGCCTGTGTAATACTGGGAGAATATAGTCTGGTCAGATGAGACCAACATTGAACTGTTTGGATGCCAGAATACACATCATGTTTGGAGGTCAAATGGCACTGCACATYAGCCCAAAAACACCATACCAACAGTGAAGTTTGGAGGTGGGAACATCATGGTGTGGGGCTGTTTTTCAGCATATGGTACTGGCAAACTTCAAATAATTGAAGGAAGGATGAGTGGAAAAATGTACAGAGACATTCTTGATAAAAATCTGCTTCCATCTACCAGGATGATGAAGATGAAACGTGGCTGGACATTTCAGCAAGACAATGAGCCCAAACACAAAGCCAAGGAAACTGGTTGGTTTCAGAGAAAGAAACTAAAGCTGCTGGAATGGCCCAGCCAATCACCTGACCTGAATCCAACAGAAAATCTATGGAAAGAACTAAAGATCAGAGTTCATAGAAGAGGTCCACGAAACCTTCAAGATTTGAAGACTGTTTTTGTGGAAGAATGGGCCAAAATCACACCTGAGCAATGTGAAGAAATTTATAGTTTAGTACTGATTAAATACAACACAGAGTTAGGGTTTTCTATTTTATAATACCTTTATAATGTTTGTTATATTTCTTACAATGTGTTAATTGAAATAGTGTAGATACATGTCCGAATATAACAACACATAATTAAAGCTGTATTAACATTAGATTGAGTGTGGGTTGTATGAATGCCTGTGATTCAGCTGTAGGCCAGCAGGAGGCGAACTCGGCATTGAAGATCCTGTATTTATTGGTCGACTTCCTGTTTTGACTCCAGTGTGTGGTTTGACTCGCCAGCTCATGGCTGAATAAACCCTCACTCCAGAATTCTGATGTTGTATGGCAATTATTTCTTATCACAGATCGTTTTATCTAACACTTGTGTTTTCACCTGACTTCAGCCGTTATTGAACACGTATTTCCTTACAAATGCATGCCACTAGTTTCTCCATACAGGAGGCGTCTTGAAGCTGTCATTGACAACAAAGGCTTTTGTACAAAGTATTRGATAAATTTCAGTAAGTGTGTTCAATACTTTTTCCCTGTGCCATTCCACATTATTACAAATAACTTCATTTCTGGACATTTATGGTTGATTTCTTTGTATGTATGGATCACTTGGGTTTTTACTGACATCTGGTGAAAATTTCATGTCATTAGCACCTCTAGTTATATATTTACTGAGAAAAATGTTGACGTGTTCAATACTTATTTTACCCGCTGTATATTTTACTCTATTATAAGGTTTGTGTGACAAAGTGTGACACATTGATTTGAATATGTACATGCAACCAAAGAAAAGTTTGGAAATAAGTTTCCCCAGGAGTCAAAAGTAAATTTGTCAATTGATAGTGGGTGTGTTAGACTCCACCTAACCCTATAATACGATCTTGATGTTGGGTAATGAGGATGATTGTTGTTTATTAGTAAAAGTTTGGTCACACATTCTTTCAAATACAAATTGGGGAGTGAGTTTGAATAAATTTAGATGTGAGCCTATAGCTTTAAAAGTAATGTGAGCATCTGTACAAAGATGTTAAAAATCTGCGGAGAGACAATCTAACGACACGTTTGTGGATTTGTTGCTCCGAGCTGCTCTTTTGACATCACTTCTTATTAAGAAATCTTGTTTAGGATTTTGCAGAAACAGTCTGCTTACACTCAGCAAAGAAAGGCAACAAATTGGTGGACAATCCAAACACTTGTTATCCATTCAGCCGCCACCGTCGCCTCTCTGACACAGTTACAGTTGAGGGGTGAACAGTGGGGGGAAAAATCTGGCTTTCTGTTTCAACAGGGGGGAAAAGAAGAATAAGAGAGCGGACATGAGAAACCTGTTGATACCACTGCATTGTCCTGCTCAAAGCTTCTGTTATACACTGCTGCCAGACCAGCTGTGGTGTGCTTTTTCCCAGGGCTTTGCTCTGAGCTTTACTCCTCTTGTAGACTTTCAGAGGAAATAAGCCGCCCGGTATGATGTAAGGACTCGTGTTTGTTCACCTGTCAGGATATGGTGCAGCCCATCTACCATCAACAGCCCCCTTTCTGTTTGTGTGGCATGTTAAGCCAAGATAGTGGTATTAGATTTGTATCACAGGCAGTGCGACATGAATAGGGAGTGTCATTCTGTGGAGCACCTTTCGGCTACACAGTTTGGTATCGTTTACATTACTYGCTCCAAATTGAAATCCAAGTCCGTTGCAGGCGTCATAGTTTCACATAAGCCTCGCAGATACTCGAGTTTCTCCAGTCTTTATAGTTTCTCTCTGCAAATGATCCCACATCCACTCTAGAATAAAAAAGAAAAAACAATTGGGAAACTTCTTCACTGTTTTCAGGCTTCTACTGTTTCCCTCTAAAAAAAAGAGAGAGATTATTTGGCTTGTCATCTTCGTGTGGTGTTCAGTCCAAACGCAACATTAGGCAACGATCACCTGACCACTGTTGTAATGAATTCATAYGCACATTTCTCAATATGGATTGTTTTTGTGAGGACTGAACAAGCACGTCACACCCTCTGTAACGACCTCCTTTTACTCAAGTAATGTAAGAGGAATGAACAAACGTTTCCAGCATAACACCCATCTCTGTGACCTAAAACTAATACACACACACACGCACACACACACAAAGAGAGAAACGCACACATATGTCTGTGCTGTTGGAGGCAGGAAATGTAATCTCTCACCAGGGTAAGGGAAGTAGGAATGCTGCGTGTGGATTCATTTCCAAATTAACATGCTGAGTCAACAACGGTGGCGCTGTCAGGTGTCAGGTGGTGCCATTTTTTTAAAACATGGTCGAGTTATTAGTAACCCCGTTTTCTGCCTGCATGTGTGTTCCTTGCCTCACAGATGGAGAATATCTGACATTTACCAGATATGAGCCTGTTGGAGTCTGTGGACAAATTATCCCTGTAAGTACAAGTCTTCCTTCATGTCACATGTATGCAGCGGACATTATTGTGAAAAGAAAAATAGAAAACAGATAAGAGAAAAAAGTGGCCGGGTTTGAAAGAAAATCGGTCCGGTTTATTGGATTACGTTCTGATTTTCCCGTAATTCCCTCACAGTCATTGTTTATCTGGGTAAATCCTGCTGGTAAGCCCCCCAGCAATGACAGTGCCAGTGAGTTTGAGTAATGGGGGAGAAGGAGATGTGAGAAGCAGACGAGCGAGCGAAGGGGTTTAACGTGGTGCGTTTAAGAGGAAAGCGAACGACGAGGGGAAAAAAAGATCAAGGAGAAGGAGACACTGCTGATTGTGCAAGAGTGCAGAAAGCGTGCGGTTCTGCCTTCGGCCCCATGGGCTTCTCTGTAAAGCAGAAACAACACAGGCCTGCGTGTTGTACAGTGATACGGCTCTATTGCACATGTGTTGCGATTTCCCCGACTTTCTCAGAATGCTGTGGGAAGAGAAAACACTGTGCTGGTGCCGAGAACATTTTCTCACTTGACTATGTTTAGACAAAGCGAAAATGAGAGCAAGTGACTTAAGAGCGATGAGTTATTGAACTTGACTCGTGACCACCCAGTGTGTCTGTTGCGTGATTTTTTTTTCCCCTGCCTGTGTGTGTGTGTGCTCCCGTGTCGTGCACAGTGGAACTTCCCTCTGATGATGGCAGCGTGGAAGCTGGGGCCTGCGCTCGCGTGTGGAAACACCGTCATCCTTAAACCTGCTGAGGAGACGCCGCTCACCTGCCTCTACGTAGCAGCTCTTATCAAGGAGGTAAACGTTCGACTCGCCCTGCCAAGTGCAGGCAGTCAAACACTGACACTCGTCTGAATCTCATCATCTGTGTGGTATTTTATCAAAAACACAACACTGAGTGTGACGTTAGCCAGCACTTTGTTTAAACAGCCCATTATTAATTCTGCAGCAGCCTGCTTCTCTAGACTCAACTAAATATAGACTTATAGAGATGGTTTTATGTATTTAGATTTAGTTTCAGGAGAGGTTTTCACAATTATCCCATCAGGTGTTTACCTTAGTCTTTGACCAAAAACACCATAACTGGCAATGGTTACAATGTAATAAAAAGGGTTTCACAATGTATTAGCCACAATTTAAGCCCTCTTAAATTAATCTGAGGTAGCATGAAATACAGTAAGGATGGACATTTTAATTAAATTCATTATATTTACATAGTCACAACAAACGTCTCACGGCACTGTACAAAAACAATCAATCTAAGGACACCAGCAGATTGTGTTGAATCTTCACCTTGTTGCAGTCTATCATCCTGAGCAGCACGTTGGAGACAGTGGAAAGGAAAAACTCCCTAGAAGAAACCATACGTGCCAACTTGTCCATAAATTACACAGATTTTTACCCCATTTCTCAAGATGGATAGAGAAGTCTTACWTTTTTTTTTCAAAAACTCAGCGTCAAATTTATATATAGGATGTAAAATAATCACTGAATAAAACTACATAACCACCTCCCAACCTGTTCTGCAGCACCGCAGCTAAGATGTGCCACAAATCAATGCTTCTCTGTCTGCTCGCATCCTCAGACTGTTCTTTTCAGCGAGGAGGAGGAGGAGGAGGAGGAGGAAGGGCTGGGTGGTGTCATGCCACTCCAGTAGCCCCCCCTCCCCTTCCCACCCACAGTCAAATCATATGAGCGAACTACAGATTTTTTTAGAAAGGAGAAATACATGTTATTGATAGAAACAATTACAACAAACATGTAAAAAAAACATCAAAATGTTTACGTTGAATTTACTTTACTTTAATAAGTTATGTCAACAGGTTCTACTCAACTGAATTGAGTAAATCTAACACAATTACTTCACATTCACTTATAAAGTAAATGGAAAAATGCTTTAGATTCGCTCATTTCAGTTGAGTAAAACCTGTTGACATAATTTATTTAAGTAAATCCAACACAAACATTTTGATTTGATTTGATATTTTGTGTGTAAAGGTGAATCACTAAAGACAGCAGCAGAGTGAGGAGATGTGGTAGTTTGTCCTATAGCAGAACTAAAGGATAACTCATGAAACCAACTCTAACTATAGGATTTATCAAAAAGGAAAGTCTTAAATCTAGCCTTAGAAATAGACAGAGTGCCAGCCTCACGGACAGAAACTGGAAGTTGGTTCTACAAGAGAGGAGCTTGGTAACTGAAAGCTCTGCCTCCCGTTCTACATTTTAATCAGAGACACTTTTTAATTTTATTGAGAAATGCTTAAATATTTGAAGGATTTTTTTATATTCAACCCCCCACAAGTCCAAAAAATCAGCATGGAGACAGATGCACAAATTTTGACATGAATAAAGCGGTGACCACAGTTTGTATTTTGTAATATATTTCAAGTAAGCTGTTGTAACAGAAAGGAGGGTGGGATGGATGTGGACAGTAGATTATGCGTTGATCGAAAAAAAGTTAAAAATTAAACAGAAGACATTTTCACAAAACAACACCACCTCACAAAGGCCAAGAAAAGTTATCTAATGTTATCTGTAATCTTACCCCACTTTTCCTTCAATGCGTCTTTCTGTTCTCGCTCATTTTTTATGCCGTCGCCTTCCTGCAACACCTTCTACAATATTCCACAGCGTGACTCTGGTTACACGTTAATCACAAATCCACCTCTGTGGGAATCCTGGCAGTATTTAATCTCGTGTAATAATCTGAGCATCATTGTTGGAAAGAAAAACCCCTCACACTTTTACTTCGCCCCAAACAATCACCCTTTATATTGCATTGTGTTCCTGCTGCTGGTATGTATGTGTTACATAAATCCTTTCAAGTCAACTAGAGTATAAATATTTTTTCAGGGGTTCAACGTAATGTTTGAACRTATTAAAGGCATTAACGGGGCTGTTAGTGATAGCAGAATATCAGTGGAATATAGGTTGGGGTCACAACCCTGACTGTGTGTGAGTTTTACACTGAACAGCATGAATAGGCTGAAGCAAACCAAACAAAGGACAGATAGAACTGAATGTGTGAACGCTGAGACAGTAATTAAAAAAGACATAATGTGTTTCTTTTTAACACAGTTTCCTGGGGTCTTAATGAAATGTTTATGGAATGCTTTGGTTGWTGTTTACAAGAAATAAACAGATAGATACAGTATTTACTTTATCATTAACGTTAATTAGCTTGTAGAGTCACATACTCTGTACAAAGCATGAACACATTTGTTACATTTACTTTGTTTCCACATTCCACTTGTTTTAAACTTTCATTTTTTTAACTTGACTTATTTCCATGAGCCCATAAATTTAGTTTATTTGGTCCAGATTTGTCTGAATTCTGTCATCAGCCAACAAACACAGAAACATCTGCACCTCCTCACACAGTAGTACCACAGTGTTGATTTAAGTTTTGCTCTCATTTGGATACATTACATGTGTTGTTTTAAGTAGTAAATACCAAAAACCAATATGGTGTTGCAAGGTTTTTAACAGAGGTGTATAAAGTGCTTTAAAAAAAACAAAGTAAAAGTAAAAATAAATACTTTAATAGAGAACGATTTAGGCAAAAATTAATTTCCCTAATAAGAAAAGTACTTAATTAAAAGTCACAAAATGGCTCACAATAATCTGGAAAGTAAAAGTACTTTTACACTTTTAAAAAAAGAGTTATTGAATTAACTTAACCAATTTRTGTCAACTAGTTCCACTAAACTGAGATGAGTCAATTCAACACTTCATTTTTTGTAGTGCATAAACAACTCCTTTCATGATGAGTTTCGGTCATATTTAAATTTGTAGCTTGCAACTAGATGTTAAATTTTAAAGAAGTAAAAGTATCATTTTTATGTCTTGAAGGTAACAAAATAAAAGTAGAAGTCATAATAAAAAAACTGTAAATTTACAGATCCTCATAAAGTCAGCAACATAATAATAAAGTAAATGTACTTCATTACCTTTGGTTTTAAAAATGTTGGGTTTGATTCKTGTGCAGGAAATAATTAAAGTCACTCTCTGGCCAATAAGTTGGCTTTAGTCTGATTATGTCAAATCTTCAGCTCAACTCAGTGAACTAAACCAAAGTGGRCCGGATCACCCAATGAAAAGACCCTGAAGTCGCATCGAGTCAACCTGAGGGCCGGGTCAAGTCATTACTTCTCTGTTGGAGAAGCTGGATAATTTTACAGGATGATAATTAAATTAAACATCTAATAACAACATAAGGAATTTTCAACAGACCAAAGCTGCTCTTACTGAAGGGACATGGTTATCTTATTTAGGAGTAAATAAAGTCTAATAACTACAGAAACTCAAATCAGCACTCACAAGTAGAAAATAAAGAATTTCTGGATAATATGTCTGTTTTAATGATGTTTAAATCATTCAGCCAGTGTGATCGCTCAGTTTTCAACCATGTGAGTTTGAAAACCTAAACATAAATGCTGACACAGCACAAGATAGTGCTGATACACAGAATKAAATACATGAACTGCCTAATAAATCATAAAGTTTACCCAAGACAGTCGAGTCAACATAAAACATAATTAAAAACACAAACAAATGTGGATTTAGTTTGAATCCAGTTGCTTGTGGYGTATCTGGTGAGTGCAGCTGTATTTATTTTCTGTTCTGATAGAATCTTCAGCTGGACAGAGGAGAAGAAAACTAAAACAGGACAGGAACAATGTTCTATCACATCACCATCTAATGTGTAAATCCAAGCATCCACATCCTCCCCGTCTCCCCTGAGTCCTCTCTGGCTGCGCCTCTTTTTGGAGACTATCTGTCTGTGGCTTTTCTTCTTTTTGATGTTATCCCCGCTCTCCGTCTGCAGGCAGGTTGGGCTGGGTCCGGATTCCCCCCACACTGCCTGCGGTTTTGCTTGGCTCTGTTGTCATCTCCGCTAAAGCTTGTTTCCTCTCATGCTGTTTTGACAGGCTGGGTTTCCACCGGGAGTCATCAATATTTTGCCAGGATTCGGTCCAACAGCGGGAGCGGCGATTGCTTCACACATGGGCATCGACAAAGTGGCTTTCACAGGATCCACTGAGGTACTTTTCTCCTCGTGTCAGCAGCTGCTCGTTGCTTTTGTCAATGAGCGCAAGTGACAGTGACGAACATGTGCGGAGCAGAAGGCCAGGCCGGGCAATTAGTGGATGTTGTGTGCCTGCACTGAAGTTTTAATGACAAACAAATGGGGTCTTACATAAGTTACGTGGCCTGTCATTACCGCTTGTGAAAGAGCTTTGATTTTATCTCACACACATATTTGCATTGTCGAGAGTATACAAACATGTCCCTTTGAAAACAGCATCTGTCTGTTTCCCCCTCTGCTATGTTTACCATATTAACCACAACAGTGCTTTTCATTGAACTTTTATCAAGATCCACATCCGATAAACCAAGAAAAGGGAAGCAGTTAATTTGCAACCAAAGGTCTTTCAGAACCTTGTTAGGTGCCGGGAGTTGTGCTCTGAACACATTCCTGTGGCTGAAGGGAACAGCGATGAGTGACGGAAAATAACTTCTCTGCAGATCATTTATAAACATCTGTCATTTCCACCAGATCCCCGCCGCCACCACCTCCCCTCTCCGTTAAAACCATTTACAGCAAAGCTGAAGTAGAATGAGTATCATGACGTGTACATTTAGTAAAAGGAGCCAGCTTTTCTGAGGCGTTTGTTTTGACTCCGGTTGTGTTTTAGTTGTGTGTATTTGTGCGTGTGCTATATCTGATAATCCCCTGCAGGAACAGACATAATAGATGACAGTCAGGAGCCTCACAGATACGAAAATGAAACTGAAATTCTCCTCAGCAGTGATGATTAATGCCRAAACCTGAATAYATTCAGGTTTTTGTCGTGCTTGACTGACAGCATCTTGTAGAGGTCTTCTGTTTAATTTTAAACAGTTTAACAAGAAGACATCACACATCTGTCAATGAACAAGTTCTAGAATCTTGTTAACAACAAAAAATACACGKTTTTTTGTTTTTTACAACCACTAAATTCACCAGATTGACTGCACATTTGTAGCATCTGAAATCATAACATCTCGTCAAATAAAAACTATTAACTTAGATTTTCTGGTTGTTAAGCTGCCATCTAGCAGCYGTTGCTGGCATTGCTCTGTGTCTAAGCTTACATTTCATTTACACTTCAAAGTTTGGTGTTCTAATCCCCAATAACTTAAAAACAAAGAAACAAGGATTTTTTCATCTTGATTCCTCTAAGAGGTTCTAACTTCAGTTTGTGTGAGTTTATTGTTGATGCTCAGACTGTGAGTCACTGGGGGTTGATGAAATGGTTACAGGTGGATTTTTTTGGGGGGGTGGGGTCTGACTGGGAGTTTAGCAGTCCAGCATGTTTCCTGTACCGTAGAATAAACGCATGCAAACACGTCCCTAGTTAGCCACTTTGTGTTTCAAATGAAAGACAGACAAATGGTGTTTTCATCCAGCTTTGGTGCCAGCCGCTGCACAGCAGATGACTCTGTTCATATCTTTTTACTGCATCAGCTCAGACCCTCAGGTAAAAGAAAAAGAGTCTATTCCATGTTAGAGATGGGGGCGTTTAAGCTTGGCCACTAAGACGGTATTTTTCCACTTGATCTTGTCAGTTCACTTGGACAATAAAAGGGCCTGTGTGAGTAATAGGAAGATGAATGCTGTCTGAGGGTGTAGGATGGTCTGGGAAGCATGGGGATTTCACGGGCTTCTTATCTGTCCAGAGAGCCGTGTGTCAGAACAGGGAAATATCTGTTTCATCTGCTCATTCATTGTCTGAGTATTTTTTAAAACAACAATTCCCTAACTTTTTATGACAAAGCACACTCGTACATAAAGCTCAACATTAATGTACGAATTAATACAGACTCACTAACCACAACACCAAAACGTTAAGCACCCAGACAAAGTGAAGGAAATAAAACAAAACTGCACATGTTGAAGGTCCTGTAACTTTGCTGTAATAACATCAGATCAAATGAATAAGAAAGCTGGCTGCACGGAAACAGTGCTGGTCCCATGTTAGAGGGGTGTGACACCTCCTGAAGTTCTGAGCAGAACACGGTCATACAGCAGCTGTGTTCTCTCCTGCTGCAAGTCGACCCACAGCTGCTAGAACTGGCCCTGGAGATCCAGCAGATCGGCACTGTGTTGGGGTCAACGTTCACGCTGATCCCACACACCTCAACATGATGCAGACAGTCCAACAGCACACGTGACGTGACGTGTGGACTGACATGATCCTGTATAAGAACAAGGCATGCAGATTCAAGATGGATTTGTGCTGTTCTGTCCCCCTGATCAGGATCAGAGGTAATCTGGCTCCTTACATCATGACACCAGGAGTAATGTTGGTGCTTAACAGAGACGTGACGTTAAGAATGCTGGTCTTTAAAAGTATTATTTATTGTTCTTGATTTTGGTTGATATTATCAGTGTGGATAAGAAGTGAGGCAGAAAAAAAGGGATGATAGAGTGATAAAGGAAAAACCTTGAGCAAATCCTCTCATCGTCCATATCAAAACACAGAACCGGTTTTATACCAAACTAAATGTCCCACATTTGGTTAGACACCTCCAGAGAGGACACCACACACCCTTTCCTTCTCTATAACAGATGACATGCCAAGCTGAAACATCTTTTTGTTTTCCTGTTGCTGCCTCCACAATCCTGCAATGGATATTCTTTTGTGTGTGTGTGTGTTTGTAAAAATGTGTGTTTCAGCTGGCTGCCCGGTGCATTCCTTGTTTGGAGCTAACCAGCATCTTTAAGATATTAAATGGCTCTGATTTACTGATCTGGCAGCAAGCCCATCTCTTTGAGTAAACTGCAGATTTGTTTCCTCCGCTAGGTCGGCAAGCTGATCCAGGAGGCAGCGGGGAAAAGTAACCTGAAGAGAGTGACGCTGGAGCTGGGAGGGAAGAATCCCAACATCATCTTTGCAGATGCAGACAGTGAGTTTTTAAGTGTTTAAATCACAAGTGTTGTTAAGTGTTGAAACTGCTTTGTTAATTATTTGCACAATTACCCTGAAGCCGTGCAACAACAACTGCTTTTTCATTTTATTCAACTTAAATCTGAAGATATGTAAAACTCCAAAGTTTCAGTATGTGCTTAAACCACTCAAGAAGCTTTCGATTTTTTTTTAAATCCTCTTCTCAAATGTACTTATTTACAGCTGGTTAATTTACCAAATGAGCTAGGGCCATAAGAAAACCCACAGTTTATGTTTTGACCGCTCGCTCACGTCACAGTAACGTTTTGTGACACAAGAATTGTGTCGGGTCCCACAGGACTCAGGGCATCAGGGCTGAGGAATGAAGGGGTGCAGAGGGTGCTACAGCACACCCCAGTGGATGGCAAAAGACATGGATGTTCACTACACGTAGTAAAATAAAGAAAATAAGTAAAAACCATCGATTAATGACTGTATAAATATGGCATTCCTATAAGCATCATAAAATCTGCTCAGCTGTTGTTAATGTAAATTCAACCTGACATAGTTCTGCATGGACCAGATATTGTTGTTTGCAGCTTAATCTTTGTTTATTTTGATTGACATTATGCTTTTTTTARACACATATTTAAACTATTCAAAAGCTTATTTGGGCTTTGAAATCCTTTGGATGGAAGAGTCTCATTTAAGTCAAAGTGCCTCCCCAAACTGGGGTGTAGGGCCTTTCAAATGCTTTCAGCAGCCATGAGAGGGTCTCACTTAGGCCTGTAAATCAGGAGAATAGACCCTGACTCTCAGTCGGGTACTTCAGCCGAGACCCATAAATCTCAGGGGTCCATTAACTCTTTGTGTACAAGAGCAGGATTCTGTCGTTTAGAAAAACTGAAACAGATTTATACGGGATGACTTCACGAACACCATGCCGTTTTTTTAGACAAATAAAAGATTTACGTTTTTGGGTGTTTGTGTTCATGCTAATTGAGTTTTGAATTATTTCCCTTTAAACAAAAATTAGGATAAAATCTCTTTTTCACTTGATAATTAGCTTTTTATTAATAGTTTATTTTAATGCCCTTGTCTATTAATGAAGAAGGCTGTATAGGTCCACTCTTTCATGAATGGTTGACTTCTTTGTCTCTGTGTGTCCCTGTGATCGATGGATGGTCTGTTTAAATATCTTTACTAAAACCTTGTTTATTCCACAGTGGATCTGGCCGTGGAGCAGGCCCACCAGGGCGTGTTTTTCAACGCAGGCCAGTGCTGCACAGCAGGGTCTCGCATTTTTGTCGAGGAGCCTATCTATGACGAGTTTGTTCGGAGGAGCGTGGAGCGAGCCAAGCGGAGGATAGTCGGCAGCCCCTTCGACCCCACAACTGAGCAGGGCCCACAGGTGAGGTGGACCCATCTGGAGTCTTTTTGTATTTTTTTCTGTCACTCTAAAATGCTCTGTGTGTTTCACGTGTTGTCCTCCGCCTCCGCAGGTCAGCCGGGAGCATCAGAATCGGGTGCTGGAGTTCATCCAGAGCGGCATCAGTGAAGGAGCTAAACTGGAGTGTGGAGGCAAAGCTTTAGGCTTGAAAGGCTTTTTCATTGAGCCTACAGTTTTCTCCAACGTGAAAGATGATATGCGCATAGCCAGAGAGGAGGTATGATGATAATTGGGATTTTTAGCTGTAGTTCCTGCACAACTAATGCATGAAAACCTGCATGAGATTACAAAGGATGGAAGAAAATACTGTGATTTTACCCGAGGATGATAATAAATATATATAAAATATATTAAAGCAACATAAGTTAAAGTCTGGTTAGATTTAAAGTGTATTAAATAGTCCTGGAATATTATTAGGCATTAAAATATGATTTGAGCTTTTTGACTTTCTAAAAATTTATAAATTATTTTAGTTAGTTTATTTTACTTTGAACTTGTGACAAATTATAATAAAACTCTAAAATAAACGGCGAAAAAATGTGAAGCACAGACGTACATATAAAATACGAAAAAAAATGTTGAAACAAATGCAAAATGCACCTCTCTTTGCAGATATTTGGGCCAGTCCAGCAGATTATGAAGTTCAAAACAATTGAAGAAGTGATAGAGAGAGCCAATAACTCAATTTATGGTTTGGTTGCTGCTGTGTTTACCAACGACATCAACAAAGCCATGACCATTTCCACAGCCGTGCAGGCCGGCACCGTCTGGTGAGTTTGAGTTGATTTGCTTAAAAACTGACTCCACAGCACCTGAAGCAGCTATTATTACATCCTCTACAGAAAGATCTATTCTTTTTGACCCTTTTTTAACCATGGTTCACAAATAAGACATAAAATGAAATAGAAATGAAACATGAGCTGTGGATGAAAATTACGGCTATGGTTTGCCAAATGTTGACTTTACTCAGGATTTGTTTGCTTCAGTTTTAATTACCAACAGCTGGTTATGAGTAATATGTAACACACAGCATCTGTCAGAAATGTTTTATTAATTGTCTCGACTGCAGAAGTCTGGTAGCTGAGCAAACATTTATTTTACTTCTTCATTTCTGCTGCATCACAGAAACAGTCAAACCATTACTCAACCTTGCACATAGAAAACATGCAATCCTATGGAAAAAAATAATAAAATAATAGAAAACAAAGATAAATGTAGCATTTTTATGTTAATTTTAATATTTTAAATACTCTCCTTTGACCCACGTTTGAATAATAATACTGAATGACTGTGTGTTACAGCATTTTTTGTTGTTGTTTTAATGTAAATTATGTTTCTTTATATGTGTATTTATGTTGTTCATAGTAATACGTATAAGCAAAAATTCAGTTTTCAACTGAATTTTATAATAAATTTATAAAATTTATAAAAAAATTAGGGATGACAATATGCTACTGTTTATTATAATAATAAACAACTATACTACATTAGCATACTGTAAATAATTGTATATTGACAAAATACTATTAAACTATTGTCACTGTAATCTTTTTATAAGTATTTTCTTGCAGCACCAGCTGTTTGTATTTTATCTTAAATATCAATAATTGTGCAGATTTTTTAGTGTTTGTGAAAGTTTCTTTAAAAGTCTTTTTTTGTTCGTTCTGTCATCTTACCCAACATTTGTAATAAAACTCATTAATATACAAAAAGAAAAAAATTGTATAGGTCTTCTGGACGGGTTCTTCTCTAATGAAACTTGTGCCAACAGAACAAGTGTGCCACCCTTTTCAGGGGTGCTGCCGAGCCATTGGTTCAGATATGTTGACGACACCTGGGTTAAAATTAAAGCCCAGGAAGTCCAACATTTCACTGATCACATCAACTCTGTGGATGAATATATTAAGTTCACACGAGAGGATGTAAAAAAATGGCAGGTTGGCGTTCCTGGATTGCGATGTCTCGGTTTCGGATGGAGGATGGTTGGAAACTGGCGTATATCGTAAGCCCACCCACACAGACCAATATTTGCGTTTTGACTCCCACCACCCACTGGAACACAAGTTAGGAGTGATCAGGACTCTGTACCACAGAGCAGACAGTGTCCCTACAAACCCAGGAGCCAGGGAGAAAGAGAAATCACACACACGACAGGCCCTGGAGCAGTGTGGTTATCCTGACTGGGCTTTCCTGGAAGCAGACAAGAAACACAGACAGGATTCCATGCAACCTTCAGGTGAAAATGAAGACCCCAAACCCAGACCCAAACCAGTGGTTATTCCGTATGTTGCGGGTGTTTCGGAGAAATTGAGACGTTTATTTTCTAAACATGATGTCCCAGTGGCTTTCAAACCCCAAAACATTTTACGGCAAAGGCTGGTTCACCACAAAGATCCGGTGCCCCGGCACAAACAGAGCAATGTTGTATATGTTGTTAAGTGCCAGGAGGACTGTGACCAGTTATACATCGGGGAAACAAAGCAGCCACTGTTCAAAAGAATGTCCCAACACAGACGAGCTACATCTAATGGCCAGAACTCTGCAGTTTTCACTCATTTACAGGCCAGCGGTCACTCTTTCAGAGATGAGGATGTTCTCATTCTTGATAGAGAGGAACGTTGGTTTGAGAGAGGAGTAAAAGAAGCCATTTTTGTGAAGAAAGACCATCCATCATTAAACAGAGGTGGAGGCCTCCGTTTTCAGTTGTCCCCCTCCTACAGCACGGCTATTGCCAGTATCACTCCACCCCCTGTTAACAATAAGTGTTAATTAGGTGTCAACGATAGCCATGTGATGTGAGTATCAGTCACATGGAAGCAGTGCTTAAAAGCCTGAATTTTGCCTGAAACTCTCCGACCGAAGAAGTCTCTTGGAGAGACGAAATGTTTCATTAGAGAAGAACCTGTCCAGAAGACCTATACAATTTTTTTCTTTTTGATTTTTTACCTGGATTACTGAGATGCATCAGGACATTTTGAATCATTAATATACAGTTTGACATTGTTCAGCTGTGTTCCTTAATCGTAATTCAAGAACAAATTCAAAGGGTCGCAAAATTTGCAGTAATTTTGGAAACAGTTCCTTTATATCTATCATCCTTAATGTAGCCTTCTGTTAGTGCAGGGCTTAATGCATTAGGTTGATCAATGTTTTGTGTATTTCTCAGGATAAACTGCTTCAACGCTCTGAGCACACAGTGTCCATTTGGAGGATACAAAATGTCTGGCAATGGACGTGAATTGTGAGTACAGCTTGGTTATCTGCTCACCAGATATGCACAAATTATGCACATTATCACTAATACGGAGTCTGTGTTTTGAAAACATCCTTTCCAAAAATGTTTTAACATCGCATTAATCATTTTTATAAAAGGAAGTCGCAGTATTTCTTCTGTGTTTCAAACGAGCGTCTTTGTTATGTTTCCTGTTTCAGGGGAGAAAGCTGCCTGAGAGAGTACACAGAAGAGAAGACCATCACGATGAAGATGGTTACAAAGAACTCTTAAAGGCAGACTCGTTTTTCTGAGAGGAGGTGTGGCGGGGKTTCTCAGTCCGACCATGGTGGCAAATCTCACCGACCTTCAGAACCAGTTCTTACTCGCTGCCGCTCCCTCCATCAACTCGACCTTGCAGTCAAGTCGTTCCCGTCCGGCTCTCTCCAGGTCTGAACCACTGAACCCCGCCCACTCACATCCTCACACTGCGTACCTCCTCCACTAACTCCACTAAAGCACTCGCAGAGACAATAAGGGAAGCTGCTCTGACTGCATCGCCCGATAACACCACCACCCCCCGCGGCCTCAACACGTAGGCCCCCTCCCCAGATGCTGGATGCTCAGAGACTCGGTCGCTGCACTTGCAATAAGCCCTTTAGCTACTTGTCATGTGTTGGGAGGCAGATTTTCTTTGTACTGTGCGCTATGATTGTCAAAAACCTCATGTGTCATTGTCTTGGTAGAATTTATGCGAGTACATCACCTCATTCCAGACCACTGATGTTGTCAGACATGAATGGAYGAAAACRTTAACGTAGAGTTAAAACTGATTTCTAATTGTCTTTGTTTATATATTAGCTCATATGACTTAACACTGTATGTAAACCTCTGACCGACGTAAACGTGAAAGATTTTAAACTCTTAAAAGCATTGTACTCTCACTTGCTAAAAGAGGAGTAGATGTATTTTAAACTTTTTTTAACTGATTATCATTGATGTCCATCTTTTGTTTATGTTTATACAATCATATGCTATGAAATTATATAATGTCTAGTTTTTTTCAGTAAAACATTATTTTCTCTGGAGAATCGTTGCTTTTTCACTCACTTTTCTTTACACTTTAACTTCTTCATGTGACACTTTGCAAACAGAAGCATGTGAGCAACATGAAGTCAAACTTAAGGAAAATGAGAACATAAAATAAAAGATAAAACATCACACCACTGTTATATTAAAGGCAGATTCTAAGTATGTTACTAAATGAACAATTGAATTAAAAATATTCAAAATGAATGAAACCGAAAGTGCATAAAAGTTCTGAACTTTCTAAAAAAAGATACATTTCAGAAAAATGGTGTGTCATATCCAAATTAACGAATTAAAACCATTTATTTATCTATTGCATGTGCTTTTTTTCATTTGTGGGAGGAAACCAGACTACCTGGAGAAAAGCAAAACTCCACACAAAAAAACCCCAGGTCTGAACCAGGGATCAAACCCAGAACCTTCTTGCTGTGGGGCATCAGTATTAACCCCTGAACGTAAAACGACTGGACATAACATAAACAATAAAAAATTTATTTAAAAAATTATAAAAAACAAACATAAAAAAGATTCTTATAAGCCAAAGCAATGCATTCCAGTGTAAAACTATAAATACTGTAAATCAGGACTATTCAACTGGCGGCCCACAGGCCACATGCATCCCGTTTGAGACCTCCWTCCGGCCCGCCAAAATCTTTTTTTTTACTTCATGTAATAGTGCTGGGTGGTATACCGTTTTGTACTTAATACCGGTTTTTAATTTTGTTAAGACAAGAATTTTCTGAAAACTGACATACCGGTTTAAATAGCCTGAACACATGCGGAACATTTTGTCGCGGCCGCCAGTTAACTGTTTCCCGGGGGACACTTTTCCTTGCAGCACCACTATGTGCTTTCGCATGCTAATATTATTGTTGGAGCAGTTATTTGCAGTGGTGGGTGGCAATTCCGCTGCTTATATTGACTGACATAAAAAATGGCAATTTCGCCATCGCTGAATAAAGTTAACACATCTTTTGTGATGTGTACGGTTAGATTTAACACACAATGTTAATGTGGAGATGTTATTCTGATGGAGACTTAACGTTTTTATTTTGAAAAGAAAATAAGTAGTTTGTAGTGGAATTGGAATTGACAGGTGTGCAAGGTGAGTCGTGCTGATAAGCTTTATTGAATAATAGAGCCGATCATAATCTTTTCTTAACCCTCCTCCCTCATGACCGGACCAAAATGCATGACTACTGTCTACAGAAAAGACACATAGAGGAGGGAAACAGTGACACAGACAGAGGTACAGTAAAAGAAAAAAGTTAATAAGCAGTGTTTGTACATTTTATCAGCTGACCTGTGATGATAAGGAAAATACTGTGATATAAAATTTAGGTCATACCGCCCAGCTCTATCATGTAATACAAAAATATATTTAAAATACTTTGTAAATTTACAAATAATGTTTCAATGATCTACTTTAGAAAATAAAAGATGATACTTCTTTTGTTACATGCTGCAGAGTTTCACCTACCATTAATGGGCACCCTTGGGGCGGTGGGGTGCTTTAAGTAATTGTGACCCCCAGACCCCCTATTTAGTTGAATAACCGTGCTAATTATTGAAAGTGTTGGGACCCAAACCAACGTTTGAGTTTAAAAGTGAAAGCTGAAAGGAAATACAGCAGCTCATTAGTTTCTTCACATTTTATAGATGAATAGAGGTGGGTTTTTACTAATAAGTACCCTAAATCTGATTTACATTCAGAGCTGTTAGACTTGTTGTTAAGCTGAATAAACAAAAAAATAATTTTCCCTTTCACATTATCTGTTGTAACAGATGATGCATAAAGATGTTTTCACTGTCTGAAAAAAGGCAGACAGAAAATACAGGAAGAAACTTGAGGAGAGAATTGAAAGTTTTAAAAATGAACCAAACAAACAGCTTAGGGGAGCGAAAAAAAATATCTAAAAATGGAACAAACAGAAAACACCCAAAAAACAGTGTTTCCTAAAAGGTTGATGAGCTCTTTGGCTTCTGTTCATTTGATTTATTTTTTACTAAAAAACCCATCATCATCATCATCACCATCATCATCAGTAACAGTCATGATGAGTGGGAAGAAGACAGGGTGGTGATGTGTGGTCATCGTACTTCAGACGGCGTTTAATAACATTATCTGGCCTTTTCAGACTAATGTCAAACCAGGTTAGTCACTTGTTTCCATACTTCACCAAGAGGAAGTGAAAGTCATCAAACAGCACAAAATAAAAGACCCAACTTTTTCCTATGATTAAATCACATGAATTCATGTTAAAAGGTTAAAATTAGGTAATTTTTTTCATCTTTATCTAGTGAAAAAATATTTTAAAAGTTCAAAGATGAGACCAAAACATGAATTTCCACTCAACATGACAGAAAGGAGGTTTGACTCAACAGTTTCTGTACATGACGAATCATTCAGTTAATCATAAAATGTAAAACACTGGAAACCTTTGGAGATTACATAACATACAGTGTTTATTGACGAGTTCAAATGCCTTCAGAAAAAAAAAAGAAAAAA